GTAACGTTAAGGACAAGGTTTATAAGTTAACGCTAACTCAAAAGGTAACAACCCTTACTGTCTCGAACCAGGCTAAACGTTACGCTAACGTTAGCTTGCGGAGTAACGTTAACTGATAAACTAAAGCGGCTAAATATACACCACAATTTCCTAAAACACATAAAAACTTCAAATGGCAATGCGGTCTATCTTATCAAATAAACCCGTAGCGACGTTTTAAAACAATACTCAGTGATATTCATGGAGAAACATCTTACCCCCTCTTGACTTCAATGTCACATGCAGCAACAATACAACCAACACTATATTTAGCATGCAGCGCCACCTACTGAACGGGAGTATGAAACCCGGCTGTACGCATGCGCACTTACCAAATCAGGCAGGAAATCAGTCAAAATTGTCAGTGCATTGAGTGTATATTATAGCAAACACAGTATGCAGCATTTTCAAAATACGCACAACATGAAGCTGGTTTTATTGCTAATAGTTTTAATAGGAATTTTTTTTTCTAAATGCCCATTTTAGCAGCATCTCATTTCATATACAGTACAATAGGCCTATACGGTTCAAGAGTCAAGATTTCTATTTGCCATTTATGCATAAACAGGCAGTCTAGGCATATAGAAATTATTGTGCAGCTCACCTTTGGTTTTGGTTGTACCATCTATTTGCATGGTTTAACACCTTGATTTGTATAAATCTGATACATTTATGAAGTTGAAGCTGGAGGTAGGGGCTACTGCATCATCTTTGTATTTAATAAACTCATGTATTGAGCAAAACAGTCTATCTGTGAATTGGTAGACTGTTGAAATAAGAACTAGTTCAGCTATCACAGACAGCCTGAAGACTCAAACTGTCCTTCAAGGCTCTCTTGGAAGTAAATTATTTATGACAAGTGCATGTACACAGAAACATGCCAAGGCTGGTTTCACACATGTATAAGAGTGAAAAATGAGATGTGAAAAGGTTAAACTTCATTGGTTTGACAACAGATCTTCTCTTCCTAAAACTTGGTTTGTGAACTAGGGAGAAAACAGTGTGGATTATAAGGCACTGTATGACTCTAGAAGAGCAAGTGAATAATCTGCAATACACAAGCAGGGTTTATTGTACATAAGCATCACACAAGAACTGGCTTTTTTGTAATCAATATGTTTATTAAATGGACTGACAGCTACAACAGTAAACCAAGCAGCAGATTAAGATGAATGGCAGCTTCCAAAAGTAACAGAGAAAGCTAAACCAAGAATTACACTTCAATACCAAATTATAAACTTGGAATTAACTCTAAATCAGAGTTTTAGCATTCTACGCTTGGAAATCAGTGGTGTGGTGATGGGAAGGCGGCCATAGATTTCACTTTTAAGAGCAGTGACTTCCCTTAAGAATATTGATAAACTGGGCTCATGTTGTCAAATACAGGATAGAACACAGAAACCATGACTATAACATCCAAATAACATGGCGAGCAGGACAAGTATTTAACACACAAAAAGTGGAAAATAACACCACATACTGACCAACATGTTGTTAGACCAAATGTTGGAATAAAACACATTTTTAAACATCACAACTTTGTCTCACATCCAAAATAATAAGACCACTGAAGTAAAGCAGAATTATATTCCAGTCGGGTCGGAAACCAAAACATCAGAAACTGAAGTTTACAGATGGCTCACTGAGTAGATTCTTTCTCAGTTCAGTTTCTGTCAAGATCACAATCTGTGAACATCATATGTAAGCAATGTCAGTAATACACTTCAGAGCTGAAAAAGAAACGTGGTACACCTGGTTACACCTGGTTACTGATGACAATCAAGTGTCCTTCACAAATCAATCTCCAGTATCAAGTAATGGCAGCCTTAATGTGAGCTGGAAAAAAAAAAGAAGACTACAATATGAAATTTAAAATTGAGCTGAGTTTGCCAAATAATTTCCCCAGAAAAAGTGGTGACTATTGATCTTTTCCCCTCAAAAATGCCACTACTACACCTTGACTTAAACAGGGCTTGGATACAACATCGTTCAGGAATGTCTTTCTGCTTTCCATCATCAGCTAGAGAAAGTTAGACGGGCTTATGATGCAACTGTTTAAATCCTAATATCGCTCTTCTCAAATAGGGTTTACATATTCAATAACTTCAAGGGCCAAGTCGGCCTCATATTGGATTACATAATTTGGTCACCTGTAATGAAGCATACACTGACTGCACCAAAGCAACAAAAACTGCGTTGCATAAAAACAACATACAGTGAACAAGTCAATGACTGATGGGGCAGTGGGTAAAAAAAAAAATTAATTCTCAAAGTGCAGCTCTTCAAGTGTCCAACAACTGAGTAAATGATGTTGAAGAGGCTGAGAAGCTATGGCAAAACATACTGAAGTAAAACCTAGTTTATGAAGTAAAGCTGAGGATGCGGATCAAAATTTGTTCTTGTTCATACACAATGCCTGCCGTATAATGCCTATGTTTTAAACCCTTCAAAAAGGCGTATTTGTCAAATAAATGTTCTTGTTTAAACGTTGTCCTTTATTTACTGTATATTCAGTGTTTATTCCCTCTAAACTGAAAAATGTTTTGACACCTAGCATTCACTTTCTGTGGTTACATAATTGCACTTAGAAATAAAAAATATATACACACCAAAATCCCATTTATAAATGAGCCTTAAAGTGCTCGGTTCAATTGTTTGAAATCAGATTAGCAAACTTTTGGATTCTGGGATATATGATATCCCAGAATTAGCCTATGAGAGGTTGCTTGTCTCTCCATACAAACACATAGGTTTTTAAAAGGTTTCTATCAATTAATCAGCTGAAATCTGGCATCCTGTAGGTCATCATGTTGACGCTTGAATTCCCGAGAAGGTTTTGGGTTTTCTTCTGTGAGCTGATGTTAAGCACTGTCTGTCACCGGCTGCAGGGAGGACAGTGAAGAGCAATCACAGGAATTGTTACATTCTCTTTTCCATTTAGTATCACTGACACGCAACATTTATGTTAAATATGTATTTGACTATTTCTGTATGTCCTAAAATATCCAATACTGTAGCATTACTTTCATATCTTCCAAACAGCCACTGTTCCTTTCATTGGTATGAAAATGAACTTTCAGCAAGCTTGAAATAACAGATGAAAGTGAACATCAAGTTGTCTTTTTACCCAAGTTTCGGCTGGTATATCTAACCACCTTGAGTCATGACAGTCCTGTAAACTGCGGCAGGTCTGCACAGACTGTAACTATTCACATCCCAGTTTACAGAACAAGACTTTTTTTTTAATCCAGCCCCAATGTGCAGTTCACACAGTCTGTAGTTACTGGGCCATGATGGCCATTTAACCCCCCAGTGAGTTTCCCATTAAAAACTCTAATAAGCAGTGACTCACCTTATCTGCCGTTAGCTGGCCTCCTGCTGGAGCATTTTCCTGGGCCTCTGGTTTTGACTCGCTCTGTGAGGAGGGAGCAGTTGGCTTGGGTCCAGCCACATCGTTCAGCCTGGCCTCTGTGTTAGACTTGTTGCTCTCGACTTTAGATTCACCTTCTCCCCCAGTATCCTTCGGCCGCTTGGGGGATGCCTGCCAAAGGTTTGAGGACGTGTCGGGAAACAGACTACTCAACTTTGAATTCACTATGAAGCTTTCTGTTGGGATGGTGTGACGAACAAGATCAAAGCTCACCTCTGTGGACCCCTCTGCTTTTCGTTTAGTTCCTCCCCTTTCGTTCTTCTCATCAATGACCAGGGGCCCTTCGTCCTCATCACTGCTGCCCCCAGCATCTGCTTTCTCCAAACTACCTGTATCCCCTGCTTCTTCTGATGCATTCTCCTTCATCGAAGACTACAGGCAGAGACATTAGTGTAAAAAAGGAAACAAATTCGAGACTTACACCCACAAACAGCACATGCCAAAGTGTAAACTTTGTTTTTAAGGACAAGGCCAGCTATGTACCACCTCAAAGGAAAAAAAAAATGCTATTAGAGGTTGAAAATTCTACGAGTTACCTTTAAAGGTTGCGTTGGCTACAAGTTTTGGGTTTCCTGGTTAGACAGGCAAATTTCTTCATACACCCCAAATGCACAATTAGTCTGAGGCTTTTCCTTATTTATTTATTTATTTGCATTTGTTCACATCTCTGGTCAAATAGGCCAATGTCATCTCTTTCCAAATAAGGCTAATCTAACAGTTTTCCTTGTTTTGACCTGTGATAGCTTCGCACTAATAGACCAAAGAATGCATGAAGAGCCTGAAGTATAGTATAACCGACTTATCCTTAACATCAACCCACCTCGTAACCTTCATGTGTGACCGTGGGGTTGTTCTCGATCTCCCAGAGCCCCTCGGCGAAGCCTTTCCTCTTATTTGCTTTTCCAAACTTCTCCTTACATTCATCATATGGGAACAAATCCTTGGCCCCCAGAAATGCTCTGTAGTGGTTCAACATTACTCAACTATTTTTCTATATGTGCACATCCATCCAGTCAAGCATACAATTTGCATCTACTCAAACATTTAGACAGACAATGATACATGACACTGACATATATTAGTGATTAGTCAATTCATTACTTTATCTACATAAATTAATCAGTGACACTTCTGGTCAGTTTAAGGAAACATGAAATGATCAAGGATAATTTTAGACTTGAGTGTTTAGGAAAGGTCACAGTCACCAAAGTAGTTGGAAATCATTTTATGGAGAATGTATATCTGTATGGAAGGTAATGCTACTGGGTCAGTAGTTGCATCTTGCAAGGATTATATCTAGATCTTTACACGTAAGGCATAACCACAGTACTTACTAGAATAAGACTGCCATTGATATAACAAAATACTCACGTCTCATGGGTCCCAAAAAAGAACACCTGGTATTTGTTCGAGGGGGATTTCACTGCTCCCTCAGGTAACTCATCAATCTGTAAATTGAGAAGACAGCCTGTTTAAAAAGGAGGCTGATACATCCAAAAAAAATCTTGCAACTCCTTAAATAGTAAAATGCTGATTAAGTAAAAATAATGAAGGCCACTTGTATTCTGAATGTTGTCATAAGTAAGTGTATTCAGAGCTAAAACACATATTCACAGCTGGAAATGTTTTTAAATGTGCCAGCTCTGAGTCACCAAGTCACACATCATTAGTGATGCATGCCAATTCTGAGGCCCAGCCTGAAATATTTTTTTCTATTATTCAACAAATCACATAGTGTATAAATAAAATAAAATAAAATAAAAAACTTGTCACAAGGTCTGAAAACTTTAGGTAACGCTGCCAACTGCTTATATTTAATTTATAATGATTAAAAGACAAAAACCTGAAAAGCCTCATGTTTGATTTGGTTGGACCTGAAAATACTGTCAAAACGATTGCCCTTTCAGTTTCTATAAAATCAAGAAATGAATTAACAGTGGGAGTCTTTAATACTAAACTAGATTTATGACTAGGTCACCATGCATCACATTGGCACACTCTTCACTGCTAAATGGGATGTTTCTAAAAGTATATTTCACAGCTTGATGAGGTCTTACAGATTACTATAAAAAAACCTCTCAAATGTTAACTACTAATGTGCCCAATGACAGCAGTGGCCATTCCTTTTTTGCCTCCTTTCTCATGTTTGATATATTTGCAGACTACAGTTTGGTTCCATCATTTTGTGAATATTGTGTTTTAAAAAGAGCGCAGCAAAACACGGAGACACAGGAAAGCACTATTATAATGGCCAAGCATGGTGTCCGTTTGCCTCTACAAGACCTCCTGCCACCGGAGCCTTTTGGCATTCCCAGATAGGGCCACTGTGCCAGGAGAGGTGGGGTAGGGCAACCTCACTACAGCCTGCTGACATGAGGCTTAGCTGATAAGACTGAGAAAAGATCAATACAGACAGTCACTTCACTGTTTTGGGCAGACTGACTAGTTTAAATTTTGATGCACTCTTAATAAGCCATAAGTGGGGTTTTGTATAGCTGTACGCTATAATAGTATTGTAATGTAATTAGTTACTACCTCAAAAACAGAAATACTGGCTGACACTGAAATCCAGGGTTTCCTTTTCAACTGTACACCACGTTGTGGTTAGTTATTGCGCATTGTTTGGCTCCAACATTTTTCCGTTTTAGTTTGGCTCTAACTCAGTGTAGTGAAACTCAGAGCGTCTTGGTTGTGTTTATCACCTTTATGCGTAACAGTAAATCACATTGTCACAATTAATCAAAAATTAGGAAACACTGACGGCAATGTTAGGCTACTGTGTATTTACGGAGCGGGTAGACATTACGTTATGTTTTTATACCACTGTGATTAATAGCCCGGACCAACGTTGTGAGCAGCAACTCTACTACTTGTCGCAACAAGTGTGAGCAGGCGTGTTTACAAAGTACCAACGCATATGGCTGTTA